AACTAGAACTGAACTAGAATGAACTAGAACTGAACTAGAAATGAACTAGAACTGAACTAGAACTGAACTAGAACTGAACTAGAACTGAACTAGAACTGAACTAGAACTGAACTAGAACTGAACTAGAACTGAACTAGAACTGAACTAGAACTGAACTAGAACTGAACTAGAACTGAACTAGAACTGAACTAGAACTGAACTAGAACTGAACTAGAACTGAACTAGAACTGAACTAGAACTGAACTAGAACTGAACTAGAACTGAACTAGAACTGAACTAGAACTGAACTAGAACTGAACTAGAACTGAACTAGAACTGAACTAGAACTGAACTAGAACTGAACTAGAACTGAACTAGAACTGAACTAGAACTGAACTAGAACTGAACTGAAATAGAACTGAACTAGAACTGAACTAGAACTTTCTAATAAGTATAAGTAAATAATTAAATTTATGTTTAAAGTATTCACTTTCTTCAACATTTGGTCATACTCTTAGTTAATACAATAGAAGACAAAATTTTATTAAAAATATTTATTTATTTAAGATTATTGTCTGCGTACAAATGTGCAATAAATTATTAATAACTCAATTAATTAATTCTCACACAATTTTCTAAAGAAATTATTGATACACAAACAAGAATAAAAAACCACTCACCTCAAACCCCAAGCAAATTGATCAATAACACTTTGATAGTGTGTAGTGGCCTCATCGTTCATACTCCAAGCACCACCGATGAATTCCAAACGTCCCTCATTTACCAACATTTTAACTTGTTCCTGCAGCTCGGGTTCTTGTTCACGCCACCATTTGAAAAAGAAGGCGGATTCTACATAAATAAAACGCTTCTGAGGATCTTTTAATAATTCCTGGACCACTGAATCCAATATATATTGAACACCGGCTTTTTGTATCAGAGTCTCACTGCCATAATAATATTGATCGACAGTCTTCAGCCAACCCACATCGTCATGAGTGTGGGGTATTAAGTGAACATTTAACATATGAGGTTTGACTTTGGGGCAGCTCTTTAAAAGTGGGGAAAGGGGAGTATTTTCATTAAATTGTAGTATTTTATATTTTTTGCTCTTAATATTATTCTTTCTTTTAAAAATTTGTATTTTTACATTATTTGCTGATAACTTTTTTTTGACCTACCGCATAACCGCATTTTGTACCCACATTGGGCATAGATTTTTGGGGACGCAATTCAGCACTTTTCAATAAACCTAAAGTAATGCAGATCACTGCAATTACTTTGGCTGTTAAGCCGCTGTTCATTGTATTATTAAAGTATTTTAGTTTTACTATTAAAAAAACTTCTTTCTTTCTATTCAATTAAAAATTTTCCACTTTTTCTTTTAAGCGCTATAGACAACTTGTCGTTTTAAAAATCCCCGCTCAACTGAGTTAGTTCTTAACACTTAATTCTTACTTATGTGTTTGATAACCTCTAGTAAATACAATTAGTGTTCAAGAATTCACTCAAAGTATCTGCAAGATCTTTAAAAGACATACAATTCAATTGTACAATTGTACCTTTTAGATTTTGAGCACAAGTATTAGTAGAGTGATTTGTATTTTATTTAAAGTGAGAGTGAAAAAACACAATGGTGAAAAATCCGGGATTTAATGAGTTTAATTTAAGGTTTTGTTTTTATACTCTCTCATTTACAATCGCAATGCATCCAAGCGAGCCTACATAGTAAGTGAGGCGTATTATATCAGTGATAACAAATTTACTACGAATAGGTACAGTGTGGAGCAAAATAAATAGGAATTTTGTTCAGTTCTAGTTTAGCTCTAGTTCTGTTCTAGGTCTGTTCTAGTTCTGTTCTAGTTCTGTTCTAGTTCTGTTCTAGTTCTGTTCTAGTTCTGTTCTAGTTCTGTTCTAGTTCTGTTCTAGTTCTGTTTCTAGTTCTGTTCTAGTTCTGTTCTAGTTCTGTTCTAGTTCTGTTCTAGTTCTGTTCTAGTTCTGTTCTAGTTCTGTCTAGTTCTGTTCTAGTTCTGTTCTAGTTCTGTTCTAGTTCTGTTCTAGTTCTGTTCTAGTTCCGTTCTAGTTCTGCTCTAGTTCTGTTCTAGTTCTGTTCTAGTTCTTTCTAGTTCTATTCTAGTTCGGTTCTAGTTCCGTTCTAGTTCTGTTCTGTTCTAGTTCTGTTCTAGTTCTGTTCTAGTTCTGTTCTAGTTCTGCTCTAGTTCTGTTCTAGTTCTGTTCTAGTTTTGTTCTAGTTCTGTTCTAGTTCTGTTCTAGTTCTGTTCTAGTTCTGTTCTGTTCTAGTTCTGTTCTAGTTCTGTTCTAGTTCTGTTCTAGTTCTGTTCTAGTTCTGTTCTAGTTCTGTTCTGTTCTAGTTCTGTTCTAGTTCTGTTCTAGTTCTGTTCTAGTTCTGTTCTAGTTCTGTTCTAGTTCTGTTCTAGTTCTGTTCTACTTTTGTTCTACTTTTGTTCTACTTTTGTTCTAGTTCTGTTCTAGTTCTGTTCTAGTTCTGTTCTGTTCTAGTTCTGTTCTAGTTCTGTTCTAGTTCTGTTCTAGTTCTGTTCTAGTTCTGTTCTAGTTCTGTTCTAGTTCTGTTCTAGTTCTGTTCTAGTTCTGTTCTAGTTCTGTTCTAGTTCTGTTCTAGTTCTGTTCTAGTTCTGTTCTAGTTCTGTTCTAGTTCTGTTCTAGTTCTGTTCTAGTTCTGTTCTAGTTCTGTTCTAGTTCTGTTCTAGTTCTGTTCTAGTTCTGTTCTAGTTCTGTTCTAGTTCTGTTCTAGTTCTGTTCTAGTTCTGTTCTAGTTCTGTTCTAGTTCTGTTCTAGTTCTGTTCTAGTTCTGTTCTAGTTCTGTTCTAGTTCTGTTCTAGTTCTGTTCTAGTTCTGTTCTAGTTCTGTTCTAGTTCTGTTCTAGTTCTGTTCTAGTTCTGTTCTAGTTCTGTTTTAGTTCTGTTCTAGTTCTGTTCTAGTTCTGTTCTAGTTCTGTTCTAGTTCTGTTCTAGTTCTGTTCTAGTTCTGTTCTAGTTCTGTTCTAGTTCTGTTCTAGTTCTGTTCTAGTTCTGTTCTAGTTCTCTTTCTAGTTCTGTTCTAGTTCTGTTCTAGTTTCTGTTCTAGTTCTGTTCTAGTTCTGTTTCTAGTCTGTTCTAGTTCTGTTCTAGTTCTGTTCTAGTTCTGTTCTAGTTCTGTTCTAGTTCTGTTCTAGTTCTGTTCTGTTCTAGTTCTAGTTCTAGTTCTAGTTCTGTTCTAGTTCTGTTCTAGTTCTGTTTCTAGTTCTGTTCTAGTCTGTTCTAGTTCTGTTCTAGTTCTGTTCTAGTTCTGTTCTAGTTTCTGTTCTAGTTCTGTTCTAGTTCTGTTATAGTTCTGTTCTAGTTCAGTTCTAGTTCAGTTCTAGTTCAGTTCTAGTTCCGTTCTAGTTTCAGTTCTAGTTCAGTTCTAGTTCAGTTCTAGTTCAGTTCTAGTTCAGTTCAGTTCTAGTTCTAATTCTAGTTCAGTTCTAGTCAGTTCTAGTTCAGTTCTAGTTCAGTTCTAGTTCAGTTCTAGTTCAGATCTAGTTCAGTTCTAGTTCAGTTCTAGTTCAGTTCTAGTTCAGTTCTAGTTCAGTTCTAGTTCAGTTCTAGTTCAGTTCTAGTTCAGTTCTAGTTCAGTTCTAGTTCAGTTCTAGTTCAGTTCTAGTTCAGTTCTAGTTCAGTTCTAGTTCAGTTCTAGTTCAGTTCTAGTTCAGTTCTAGTTCAGTTCTAGTTCAGTTCTAGTTCAGTTCTAGTTCAGTTCTAGTTCAGTTCTAGTTCAGTTCTAGTTCAGTTCTAGTTCAGTTTTAGATCACTTCTCGTTTAGTTCTAGTTTAAATTATGTTCTTTTTTTCCTACACTGTTCTAGTATGCAAGATGTACTCGATTACAATTTTCTCTTTTGCTCTCACACTAAATCTATTTCCTTTTTCTTACATCGTTTGTTTATTTTTAATGCGTACAGATCTCTTTTTCTCAAATAGTCGATATAGCTATTTTGTTTTTGTTATTGTGTTCAGTTTGGTCAGCATTTTTTGATTGTGCAGTGTAAGTGATCGGTCAGTTGACTTAAGAAAAGTAAATAAATAAAGGTTAAGTAGAAGAGTGAGTATGGATATGCAAAGAATCGAGGAGAGGGAGATTTTCTTGATTGAAGAGTGAGAATGAGCTGCAAGAAAAGTGGAAAAACCGGCTTGTATAAAAGATTTTAATATATATTTAATGGTTACTTTTTAGAGAAGAAAGAAAATGTATAAAAATGAATAGAGCATTTCATAATAGTGGGTTGTGTCTAAAAAGAGTTTTAAAAGAATTGCATCTTCAAATTGATCTATTCTAATGCATTATTTTATAGTTGACTAAGAAGTGGCTAGGCCTATTGTCTAGCAAAACAAATTTTTTTTTTGTAATTTGTTTTTATCAAATTATACTAAATTTTAATATCAAATCAAATTTGACACATTTTAAATAAATAAATGGTTTTCAAACACTTTTTCGTTAACTTGAGTACATTTCACTTGAAATAAATACATTTGACTACAAGTAGATCCCCTTTAAAAAATAAAGCTAATCAATTTATAATAATTATTTATGGCCCATAATAAGGTACTAGGTATTAGTCACTACTAATTAAAAATCTAAAATTTTCTTAAAAAATATTCAAATAAATTAAAATGATAAGAAATTTAATAGAATTCTCTGAAAACACTAACAAATTACTAAGATAGTAGAGAAATCAACTACTAGTGGGTTGCTAATATAAGACCCTATCATAAATTCAATACAAATATCGACATTTGCATGAAATGTCTGTATTAAAATTTCAATTTAAAATTTTAACATGCGGCTTTTTTCACACGCTTATCACTAAAAATTATAAAAAATAAAAAAAAAAGTTATTATTTCTTTTTAAAAAAATAATAACAAAACAATAGTAGTTACAGAAATTGAGTTTTACTCCAAGACTTCTTATCACTAAAGTTTTTTTTGTCGCAACCGTCAGTTATAAAATCATTGCAAATGTTTGAAATACAATCAGTTGCTATTTAAGAGGGGAAATAAGTGAAACAATAACGAAACGATATTATAGTTAAGAAAACACTTTTTTTATAGTGGAATTTTTTTAAAAAAGAAATCTCATGTTTTAAAGAATAATATTTTAAATTTAAAGTAAATTATTGGCAAACAAAAAAACTTTTGCTGCGGTCAAAAGTGAAATGAAGTTTCTAACAGTATTAACAGCACTTTTGGTGCTAACCTGGCTGGAGTATGGTGAAGCAGCCTGTGGTTACAAGGTAAGTTTTGTTGTTTGTCCTATGTAATTCAGTTCTAGTTGAGTTCTGGTTCAGTTTTAGTTCAGTTCTAGTTCAGTTCTAGTTCAGTTCTAGTTCAGTTCTAGTTCAGTTCTAGTTCAGTTCTAGTTCAGTTCTAGTTCAGTTCTAGTTCTAGTTCAGTTCTAGTTCAGTTCTAGTTCAGTTCAAGTTCAGTTCTAGTTCTGTTCTAGTTCTGTTCTAGTTCTGTTCTAGTTCTGTTTGTTCTAGTTCTGTTCTAGTTCTGTTCTAGTTCTGTTCTAGTTCAATTTCTAGTTCTGTTCTAGTTTTGTTCTAGTTCTGTCTAGTTCTGTTCTAGTTCTGTTCTAGTACTGTTCTAGTTCTGTTCTAGTTCTGTTCTAGTCTGTTCTAGTTCATGTTCTAGTTCTGTTCTAGTTCTGTTCTAGTTCTGTTCTAGTTCTGTTCTAGTTCTGTTCTAGTTCTGTTCTAGTTCTGTTCTAGTTCTGTTCTAGTTCTGTTCTAGTTCTGTTCTAGTTCAGTGTCTAGTTCTGTTCTAGTTCAGTTAGTTCTAGTTCAGTTCTAGTTCTAGTTCAGTTCTAGTTCTAGTTCTAGTCAGTTCTAGTTCAGTTCTAGTTCTAGTTCTAGTTCAGTTCTAGTTCAGTTCTAGTTCAGTTCTAGTTCAGTTCTAGTTCAGTTCTAGTTCAGTTCTAGTTCAGTTCTAGTTCAGTTCTAGTTCAGTTCTAGTTCAGTTCTAGTTCAGTTCTAGTTCAGTTCTAGTTCAGTTCTAGTTCAGTTCTAGTTCAGTTCTAGTTCAGTTCTAGTTCAGTTCTAGTTCAGTTCTAGTTCAGTTCTAGTTCAGTCTAGTCAGTTAGTTCAGTTCTAGTTCAGTTCTAGTTCAGTTCTAGTTCAGTTCTAGTTCAGTTCTAGTTCAGTTCTAGTTCAGTTCTAGTTCAGTTCTAGTTCAGTTCTAGTTCAGTTCTAGTTCAGTTCTAGTTCAGTTCTAGTTCAGTTCTAGTTCAGTTCTAGTTCAGTTCTAGTTCTAGTTCAGTTCTAGTTCAGTTCTAGTTCAGTTCTAGTTCAGTTCTAGTTCAGTTCTAGTTCAGTTCTAGTTCAGTTCTAGTTCAGTTCTAGTTCAGTTCTAGTTCTAGTTCAGTTCTAGTTCAGTTCTAGTTCAGTTCTAGTTCAGTTCTAGTTCAGTTCTAGTTCCAGTTTAGTTCAGTTCAGTTCTAGTTCATTTCTAGTTTAGTTCTAGTTCTGTTCTAGTTCTGTTCTAGTTCTGTTCTAGTGCTGTTCTAGTTCTGTTCTGGTTCTGTTCTAGTTCTGTTCTAGTTCTGTTCTAGTTCTGTTCTAGTTCTGTTCTAGTTCTGTTCTAGTTCTGTTCTAGTTCTGTTCTAGTTCTGTTCTAGTTCTGTTCTAGTTCTGTTCTAGTTCTGTTCTAGTTCTGTTCTAGTTCTGTTCTAGTTCTGTTCTAGTTCTGTTCTAGTTCTGTTCTAGTTCTGTTCTTGTTCTGTTCTAGTTCTGTTCTAGTTCTGTTCTAGTTCAGTTCTAGTTCAGTTCTAGTTCATTTCTAGTTCAGTTCTAGTTCAGTTCTAATTCTGTTCTAGTTCTGTTCTAGTTCAGTTCTAGTTTAGTTCTGTCCTACTTCTGTTCAAGTTCTGTTCTAGTTCGGTTCTAGTTCTGTTCTAGTTCTGTTCTAGTTCTGTTCTAGTTCTGTTCTAGTTCTGTTCTAGTTCTGTTCTAGTTCTGTTCTAGTTCTGTTCTAGTTCTGTTCTAGTTCTGTTCTAGTTCTGTTCTAGTTCTGTTCTAGTTCTGTTCTAGTTCTGTTCTAGTTCTGTTCTAGTTCTGTTCTAGTTCTGTTCTAGTTCTGTTCTAGTTCTGTTCTAGTTCTGTTCTAGTTCTGTTCTAGTTCTGTTCTAGTTCTGTTCTAGTTCTGTTCTATTTCTGTTCTAGTTCTGTTCTAGTTCTGTTCTAGTTCTGTTCTAGTTCTGTTTTGTTCTGTTCTAGTTCTGTTCTAGTTCAGTTCTAGTTCAGTTCTAGTTCAGTTATAGTTCAGTTCTAGTTCAGTTCTAGTTCAGTTCTAGTTTATTTCTAATTCAGTTCTAGTTTAGGTTTAGATCAGTTTTAGTTCAGTTCTAGTTTAGACTTAGATCGGTTTTAGTTCAGTTCTAGTTCATTTCTAGTTGAGTTCTAGTTCGGTTCTAGTTCAATTCTATTTCAATTCTAGTTCAGTTCTAGCTTAGTTCTAGTTCAGCTTTAGTTCAGTTCTAGTTCAGTTATAGTTCAGTTATAGTTCAGTTATAGTTCAATTCTAGTTCAGTTCTACGTTTTTCTTTAACGTTCATATCAATTTTCAAGATTTCCTAGAATTTGTTTTTATTTTTGGTTTAAATTAACAACTTTCGCTATCAACAAAAAAATCTGATAATTTAGCAACAACTATCAAATTGCTTCGAGAGTTTTTTGAAAAACAAATTATTGTTATTACAAATTGATATAAATCAACATGTCTGAACATGCCGACAATTTAAAGAAACTAAACAATAAATCAACAATTATCTATATAAATTTCAGTCATGTCCCTCCACCAAATCCAATATGATCAATGTTCATTTGGTTCCTCACTCTCACGATGATGCCGGTTGGTTGAAAACAGTCGATCAGTATTATTATGGTAGTCGCAATGATATTCAGCATGCTGGTGTTCAATATATATTGGATAATGTGATCGTAGAGCTATTGAAAAATAAATCTAGAAGGTGAGAAGGGATCTTTTAGGATTTGATATTTTTCTTACTAAATTTTTGTTTTCTCTTGTTAGATTTATCCAAGTGGAAACTGCCTTTTTCCATAAATGGTATAAGGAACAGACGTCGGATGTACAAAAGAATGTCAAGAAGTTGGTAGAGGATGGTCGTTTGGAATTTGCCGGTGGTGCCTGGAGTATGAACGATGAAGCTGCTGTGCACTATCAAAGTGTAATCGATCAGTTTACCTTGGGTTTGAAGTAAGTTTTTTAGTTCTCTTGTTGTTAGTAACGAATGGGTTAATTGAACTTTTATCTTTAGATTCTTAACCGATACCTTTGGTACTTGCGGCCGTCCTCGCATTGGCTGGCAAATTGATCCTTTTGGCCACTCTCGTGAAATGGCTTCTTTATTCGCTCAAATGGGTTTTGATGGTCAATTCTTTGCTCGTATGGATTATGTTGAGAAAGATACTCGTTTGGCTAATTTAACTGCCGAAATGATTTGGAAAGCTTCGGATAGTTTAGGTCAAAGTGCTGAACTCTTTACGGGTCTTTTATACAATCATTATGCTGCTCCCGATGGTTTCTGTTTCGATAGTTTGTGTAATGATAAGCCTATTATTGATGGCGATAGTTATGATAATAATGTTAAGGAGAGGGTGAGTTTTCGAAGGGGGATTTAAAAAGTTTAATGGAAAGTAATTTACTTTGATTGATTTCAGGTTGATACCTTCATTGCTTACATTAACAAAATGGCCAAGACTTATCGTTCTACCCACTTGTTAGTACCCATGGGAGATGATTTCAATTATGAAAATGCCAATATGAATTATAAGAATTTGGATAAGTTAATTAAGTGAGTATGAGACCGTCCCTAAAGCCCTAAAATTTTCTTTAATTCCAATTTTCTTCTTTCCGCAGATATGTCAATCAACGTCAACTTATGGGCACTAAGATCAATCTCTTATACTCGACACCCGCCTGTTATTTGAATGCTCTACACGAGACTACCAAACTTACTTGGCCCAATAAGACTCAAGATTTCTTCCCTTATGGTACTGACAATCACACCTACTGGTCGGGCTATTTCAGTTCTCGTCCCACCCAAAAGAAATATGAACGTGATGGCAATCACTTCTTGCAAGTAACCAAACAATTGACCACATTGGCCAATCTTACCACCACCGAGGCAAATCAGAATCTCGATAAATTGAGACAAGTTATGGGTATTATGCAGCATCATGATGCTATTACCGGAACCGAGAAACAACATGTTGCTGCCGATTATGACAGACTTTTGACAGATGCTATAGTTGCTGCTCAAGCTAACACCCGCTTGGCCTTGCAAAAGTTAACTAATTTGACAAATGGTGAATTTGTCTCTTGTCTACAATTGAATATAAGCGTTTGTGAATTTACTCAGAAATCGGCCAATAATTTGGTGATTACCGTCTTTAATCCTTTGAGCCAACCTAGTACTCAATACATTAGAGTTCCCGTTTTAAATGTCAGTTATATTGTAACCGATGCATTAGGCAAGGAGATCCCCCATCAAATTGTACCCGTGCCAGCTGAAGTTTTAGCTTTAACCGATTTGCGCAAAAATTTGACTCAAACCGAATTGGTATTTGAGGCTTATGTTGAGAAATTGTCCAATTTCTATGTGAAAGTAAGGCCCCAACCTAAATACTTGGAATATGATGTCTACAACAGTGAGGGTGTGCAGCTTAACAATAGATTCTTGAGATATCAAGCTAATAAAGTGGGCGTTTTTATGCCACCCACTGCTACCACTAATGAAGTTAAGCCTAGAGCTGCCGGAGATGTGATCGTGCAAAATTCGGTAGGTTTACTTTATATAAAAATTTGAACAATTTTGCTTATAATATTTTCTATTACAGCTGGTGAAGTTGACCTTTAACAATAAGGGCCTGTTGTACAACATCCAAATGAATGGTGTTTCCGAAAATATTACCCAAGAATTCTACTACTATAAGGGTGCTTTGGGTAATAATACTCAATCTAAATTTAGATCTTCTGGAGCCTACACTTTCCGTCCTAATGGCACCGAGTTATTGGTTAGTCCCTCTGCCACCATTAAGGTATACAATGGTCCTCTAGTCAAGGAAGTTCACCAACGTTTCAACGACTGGGTTTCCCAAGTCATTAGATTATATGAGCGCAAGAATGTTGTAGAATTCGAGTGGTTGGTGGGACCTATTCCCATTAAAGACAATATTGGCAAGGAAATTATTACCCGCTTCACCAGCAATATAACCTCTAAGGGAGTGTTCTATACCGATTCCAATGGTCGTGAAATGTTGAAGAGAGTACGCAATCAAAGAGAATATTTCAAACCCGATTTAACCGAGAAGGTGTCAAGTAATTACTATCCCGTTACCTCTCGTATTGCTCTGCAAAATGAAAAAGTACGTTTGGCTTTACTCAACGATCGTGCCCAGGGTGGTTCCAGTTTAAAGGATGGTGTTTTGGAATTAATGTTACATCGTCGTTTATTGCATGATGATGCTTTTGGTGTGGGTGAAGCTCTCAATGAGACCGTTAATGGTAAAGGTTTGGTAGCTCGCGGTAAAATCCATTTAATTCTCAATTCCGTAAACAATAAGCCTACCGTACAAGAACGTCACTTGGCCCAAGAATTACATTTGCCCTACTGGAAATTCTTTAGCAGTGGTCTTAAAGCCACCAACAAGAAAATACCCAAACTACCCGTCTTCTCTTCTCTGCCCAAGGGCATTGAAGTTTTGACTTTGGAACCTTTCAATAAGAATGAACGCCTATTGCGTTTTGAAAACATTTTGGATAAGACCGAAACTGGCAATATAACCTTCAATATGCGTTTGATTTTCGATGCCTTGGGCGGTGAGGAAATACGTGAAATGACTTTGGATGGTAATATGAAATTGTCGGATATGAAGAGATTTAAATTCCAACCTGATGGCACAGTACCCAAGAAGGTTGAGTATTACACTTCGAAACATACACCCTTGTCGGCTAAGAAGAGTGATGGCATCAATAAGTTTACCATTACTTTGGAACCCATGCAAATACGTACTTTTATTGTTAAGTGGAAATAAATGGAGAGAAATAGAGTAATGAAGTACCCCCCAAAAAAAATTCGACAGTAGATAATCGAATTTGCAAATAAAAAGCATTAAATTGTAAACGATATAAACCGACTTATGTTTTTTTTAAGGGAAAATGGGGAGTACACAAACCTTCTGTTCAATTATTACACGATCTAGTACTAATCGTTTAGTTCAATTCAGTTCTAGTTAAGTTCTAGTTCCAGTTCTTGTTCAGTTCTAGTTCAGTTCTAGTTCAGTTCTAGTTCAGTTCTAGTTCAGTTTTAGTGCAGTTCTAGTTCAGTTTCTAGTTAAGTTCTAGCTCAGTTCTAGTTCAGTTCTAGTTCAGTTCTAGTTCAGTTCTAGTCAGTTCTAGTTCAGTCTAGTTCAGTTCTAGTTCAGTTCTAGTTCAGTTCTAGTTCAGTTCTAGTTCAGTTCTAGTTCAGTTCTAGTTCAGTTCTAGTTCAGTTCTAGTTCAGTTCTAGTCAGTTCTAGTTCAGTTCTAGTTCAGTTCTAGTTCAGTTCTAGGTTCAGTTCTAGTTCAGTTCTAGTTCAGTTCTAGTTCAGTTCTAGTTCTAGTTCTAGTTCAGTTCTAGTTCAGTTCTAGTTCAGTTCTAGTTCAGTTCTAGTTCAGTCTAGTTCAGTTCTAGTTCAGTTCTAGTTCAGTCTAGTTCAGTTCTAGTTCAGTTCTAGTTCAGTTCTAGTTCAGTTCTAGTTCAGTTCTAGTTCAGTTCTAGTTCAGTTCTAGTTCAGTTCTAGTTCAGTTCTAGTTCAGTTTCTAGTTCAGTTCTAGTTCAGTTCTAGTTCAGTTCTAGTTCAGTTCTAGTTCAGTTCTAGTTCAGTTCTAGTTCAGTTCTAGTTCAGTTCTAGTCAGTTTAGTTCTAGTTCAGTTCTAGTTCTAGTTCAGTTCTAGTTCAGTTCTAGTTCAGTTCTAGATCAGTGCAAGTTCAGTTCTAGATCAGTTCTAGTTCAGTTCTAGTTCAGTTCTAGTTCAGTTCTAGTTCAGTTCTAGTTCAGTTCTAGTTCTAGTTCAGTTCTAGTTCAGTTCTAGTTCAGTTCTAGTTCAGTTCTAGTTCAGTTCTAGTTCAGTTCTAGTTCAGTTCTAGTTCAGTTCTAGTTCAGTCCCAGTTCAGTTCTAGTTCAGTTCTAGTTCAGTTCTAGTTCAGTTCTAGTTCAGTTCTAGTTCAGTTCTAGTTCAGTTCTAGTTCAGTTCTAGTTCAGTTCTAGTTCAGTTCTAGTTCAGTTCTAGTTCATTTCTAGTTCAGTTCTAGTTGAGTTCTAGTCCTAGTTGATTTCTAGTTTAGTTCTAGTTCTTTTCTTGTTCAGTTCTAGTTCAATTCTAGATCAGTTCTAGTTCAGTTCTAGTTCAGTTCTAGTTCAGTTCTAGTTCAGTTCTAGTTCAGTTCTAGTTCAGTTCTAGTTCAGTTAGTTCAGTTCTAGTTCAGTTCTAGTTCAGTTCTAGTTCAGTTCTAGTTCAGTTCTAGTTCAGTTCTAGTTCAGTTCTAGTTCAGTTCTAGTTCATTTCTAATTGAGTTCTAGTCCTAGTTGATTTCTAGTTCATTTTCTTGTCAGCTCTAGTTCAGTTCTAATTCAGTTCTAGTTCAGTTCTAGTTCAGTTCTAGTTCAGTTCTAGTTCAGCTCTAGTTCGTTCTAGTTCAGTTCTAGTTCAGTTCTAGTTCAGTTCTAGTTCAGTTCTAGTTCAGTTCTAGTTCAGTTCTAGTCAGTTCTAGTTCAGTTCTAGTTCAGATCTAGTTCAGTTCTAGTTCAGTTCTAGTTCAGTTCTAGTTCAATTCTAGTTCAGTTCTAGTTCAGTTCTAGTTCAGTTCTAGTTCAGTTCTAGTTCAGTTCTAGTTTCAGTTCTAGTTCAGTTCTAGTTCAGTTCTAGTTCAGTTTCTAGTTCAGTTCATGTTCAGTTCTAGTTCAGTTCTAGTCAGTTCTAGTTCAGTTCTAGTTCAGTTCTAGTTCAGTTCTAGTTCAGTTCTAGTTCAGTTCTAGTTCAGTTCTAGTTAAGTTCTACCGGTCAGTTCTAGTTCAGTTCTAGTTCAGTTCTAGTTCAGTTCTAGTTCAGTTCTAGTTCAGTTCTAGTTCAGTTCTAGTTCAGTTCTAGTTCAGTTCTAGTTCAGTTCTAGTCAGTTTCTAGTTCAGTTCTAGTTCAGTTCTAGTTCAGTTCTAGTTCAGTTCTAGTCAGTTTCTAGTTCAGTTCTAGTTCAGTTCTAGTTCAGTTCTAGTTCAGTTCTAGTTCAGTTCTAGTTCAGTTCTAGTTCAGTTCTAGTTCAGTCTAGTTCAGTTCTAGTTCAGTTCTGTTCAGTACTAGTTCAGTTCTAGTTCAGTTCTAGTTCAGTTCTAGTTCAGTTTCAAGTTCAGTTCTAGTTCAGTCTAGTTCAGTTCTAGTTCAGTTTCTAGTTCAGTTCTAGTTCAGTTCTAGTTCAGTTCTAGTTCAGTTCTAGTTCAGTTCTAGTTCAGTTCAGTTCTAGTTCAGTTCTAGTTCATTTCTAGTTCAGTTCTAGTTCAGTTCTAGTTCAGTTCTAGTGCAGTTCTAGTTCAGTTCTAGTTCAGTTCTAGTTCAGTTCTAGTTCAGTTCTAGTTAAGTTCTAGTTCAGTTCTAGTTTAGTTCTAGTTCAGTTCTAGTTCAGTTCTAGTTTCAGTTCTAGTTCAGTTCTAGTTCAGTTCTAGTTCAGTTCTAGTTCAGTTCTAGTTCAGTTCTAGTTCAGTTCTAGTTCTAGTTCAGTTCTAGTTCAGTTCTAGTTCAGTTCTAGTTCAGTCCTAGTTCAGTTCTAGTTCAGTTCTAGTTCAGTTCTAGTTCATTTCTAGTTCAGTTCTAGTTGAGTTCTAGTCCTAGTTGATTTCTAGTTTAGTTCTAGTTCTTTTCTTGTTCAGTTCTAGTTCAGTTCTAGTTCAGTTCTAGATCAGTTCTAGATCAGTTCTAGATCAGTTCTAGTTCAGTTCTAGTTTAGTTCTAGTTCAGTTCTAGTTCAGTTCTAGTTCAGTTCTAGTTCAGTTCTAGTTCAGTTCAGTTCAGTTCTAGTTCAGTTCTAGTTCAGTTCTAGTTCATTTCTTGTTCAGTTCTAGTTCAGTTCTAGTTCAGTTCTAGTTCAGTTCTAGTTCAGTTCTAGTTCAGTTCTAGTTCAGTTCTAGTTCAGTTCTAGTTCAGTTCTAGTTCAGTTCTAGTTCAGTTCTAGTTCAGTTCTAGTTAAGTTCTAGTTCAGTTCTAGTTCAGTTCTAGTTCAGTTCTAGTTCAGTTCTAGTTCAGTTCAGTTCTAGTTCAGTTCTAGTTCAGTTCAGTTCTAGTTCAGTTCTAGTTCATTTCTAGTTCAGTTCTAGTTCAGTTTCTAGTTCAGTTCTAGTTCAGTTCTAGTTCATTTCTTGTTCAGTTCTAGTTCAGTTCTAGTTCAGTTCTAGTTCAGTTCTAGTTCAGTTCTAGTTCAGTTCTAGTTCAGTTCTAGTTCAGTTCTAGTTCAGTTCTAGTTCAGTTCTAGTTCAGTTCTAGTTCAGTTCTAGTTCAGTTCTAGTTCAGTTCTAGTTCAGTTCTAGTTCAGTTCTAGTTCAGTTCTAGTTCAGTTCTAGTTCAGTTCTAGTTCAGTTCTAGTTCTAGTTCAGTTCTAGTTCAGTTCTAGTTCAGTTCTAGTTCAGTCCTAGTTCAGTTCTAGTTCAGTTCTAGTTCAGTTCTAGTTCAGTTCTAGTTCATTTCTAGTTCAGTTCTAGTTGAGTTCTAGTCCTAGTTGATTTCTAGTTTAGTTCTAGTTCTTTCTTGTTCAGTTCTAGTTCAGTTCTAGTTCAGTTCTAGATCAGTTCTAGATCAGTTCTAGATCAGTTCTAGTTCAGTTCTAGTTTAGTTCTAGTTCAGTTCTAGTTCAGTTCTAGTTCAGTTCTAGTTCAGTTCTAGTTCAGTAGTTCAGTTCTAGTTCAGTTCTAGTTCAGTTCTAGTTCATTTCTTGTTCAGTTCTAGTTCAGTTCTAGTTCAGTTCTAGTTCAGTTCTAGTTCAGTTCTAGTTCAGTTCTAGTTCAGTTCTAGTTCAGTTCTAGTTCAGTTCTAGTTCAGTTCTAGTTCAGTTCTAGTTCAGTTCTAGTTCAGTTCTAGTTCAGTTCTAGTTAAGTTCTAGTTCAGTTCTAGTTCAGTTCTAGTTCAGTTCTAGTTCAGTTCTAGTTCAGTTCAGTTCTAGTTCAGTTCTAGTTCAGTTCAGTTCTAGTTCAGTTCTAGTTCATTTCTTGTTCAGTTCTAGTTCAGTTCTAGTTCAGTTCTAGTTCAGTTCTAGTTCAGTTCTAGTTCAGTTCTAGTTCAGTTCTAGTTCAGTTCTAGTTCAGTTCTAGTTCAGTTCTAGTTCAGTTCTAGTGCAGTTCTAGTTCAGTTCTAGTTCAGTTCTAGTTCAGTTCTAGTTCAGTTCTAGTTCAGTTCTAGTTCAGTTCTAGTTCAGTTCTAGTTCAGTTCTAGTTCAGTTCTAGTTCAGTTCTGTTCAGTTCTAGTTCAGTTCTAGTTCAGTTCTAGTTCAGTTCTAGTTCAGTTCTAGTCAGTTCTAGTTCAGTTCTAGTTCAGTCTAGTTCAGTTCTAGTTCAGTTCTAGTTCAGTTCTAGTTCAGTTCTAGTTCAGTTCTAGTTCAGTTCTAGTCAGTTCTAGTTCAGTTCTAGTTCAGTTCTAGTGCAGTTCTAGTTCAGTTCTAGTTCAGTTCTAGTTCAGTTCTAGTTCAGTTCTAGTTCAGTTCTAGTTCAGTTTTAGTTCAGTTCTAGTTCAGTTCTAGTTCAGTTCTAGTTCAGTTCTAGTTCAGTTCTAGTTCAGTTCTAGTTCATTCTAGTTGAGTTCTTGTCCTAGTTGATTTCTAGTTTAGTTCTAGTTCATTTCTTGTTCAGTTCTAGTTCAGTTCTAGTTCAGTTCTAGTTCAGTTCTAGTTCAGTTCTAGTTCTAGTTCAGTTCTAGTTCAGTTCTATTTCAGTTCTAGTTCAGTTCTAGTTCAGTTCTAGTTCAGTTCTAGTTCAGTTCTAGTTCAGTTCTAGTTCAGTTCTAGTTCAGTTCTAGTTCAGTTCTAGTTCAGTTCTAGTTCAGTTCTAGTTCAGTTCTAGTATAGTTCTAGTTCAGTTCTAGTTCAGTTCTAGTTCAGTTCTAGTTCAGTTCTAGTTCAGTTCTAGTTCAGTTCTAGTTCAGTTCTAGCTCAGTTCTAGTTCAGTTCTAGTTCAGTTCTAGTTCAGTTCTAGTTCAGTTCTAGTTCAGTTCTAGTTCAGTTCTAGTACAGTTCTAGTTCAGTTCTAGTTCAGTTCTAGTTCAGTTCTAGTTCAGTTCTAGTTCAGTTCTAGTTTAGTTGTGGTTCGGCCTCTAGATTAATTCTAATTTAGTTACTTCTACATTTTAAATTGAATACATTTTTTGTCTTTATTTAAGGCTTTTTATTTGTTATTCAAAAAATAATTCACTAATTTATTAAATAACACAAAAAATAACTACATTTATTACTAAAATTTTAAAAATTAAAGAACGCGTAACAATTTTTAAAAAGTTTTACTTATACAAAAAAGCTATAAAGAATGCATAATTATATTACGATAAATACACTATTAATTATATATTTAAACAGTTTTTTTATTTCATAGTTATAATTAACATTTAAAATGTATAAAAAGAAATAAAACTAAAAACCGAAAATTTGAGCAACATTTTAAGGCACTTTCTTTAAAAAACTTGTATGAGCAATAATTTAGCTAAAAATGTTTCTTTTAAACGCTTATAATATACTAACAACTAAAGCGAGAGAAAAAATGCTTAAGATTAGTGATTTTATATATTAAAGATTTGGTAAATTTGATAAAAATATAAATTTTGTTTGAGGGGGAGGATGCACCAGGCACTTATGTTTATAGAGTACGAACTATTTAAAAACCAGCATCCCAACCAGATAATTCATCTGGTGGTTCATTGGGATCACAAGGAAATCTATCAAAGTAACAAGTATCTGTAGGATGAGCAATAGGTCTAACGAAGGGTGGTATTAACAATTGACTTTGTAAACCATCCCAATCGAAACCGAGGAACCACCTGGAAAACAAAATAAACATTAATTGAATTTTAGAAAAAAGCTATAGAAAGCGGTGCTTACTTATGTTTTTTGATATCTTGTATGCCACCCTTTTGGTAGCCCAAACGTTCAGCAGGCACATCACGACACAATTTTTTAATCAGCTGTACAGCAGATCTTGACATATGCTTAGGAAAATCGATCATGTCAATACCTTTCAAAATAATATTGTAGGTCTTCATAGGATCATTGGCGGTAAAGGGAGGTCTATAATAAATGCAATATAATTATAATACAAATAATCTTTCTCGTTAATCTAGATTCTGTACTCACGTTCCATTAAGTAATTCATGTATGAGAATACCCAGGGCCCAATAATCAACAGCACGATCATGACCCTTATTTAGAATAATCTCTGGAGCCACATATTCGGGTGTGCCACAAAAAGTCCAGGTCTTGCTGCTATTGCCAATATATTTAGCAAAGCCAAAATCCACCTTTAAATAAATAATTCCAGTATAATTTTAGAGTTTTATCACAGAAGTTCGTTTCTTTTCTCCCAACTCACCAACTTAACATAACCTCTCTCATCTAACATTAAATTCTCTGGTTTCAAATCTCTGTATATAATACCTTGAGCGTGCAAATACTCAAAGGCCTGCAATACACAACCGATTATAAATTGGGCAGCATTATCATCAAATGAACCACGATCTCTTAACATAGTCCAAATCTCACCACCCATACAGGCTTCTAGCAACATATAGACATATTTTTCATCACGGAATGTACGATAAAGACGACATATAAAGGGTGAGTTACAGGTCAACATAATGGTTCTCTCACTGAAAACATGCTCTTCCTGTTTGGTGTCGACTATATGACGTTTCTTAAGGCACTTAAGAGCAAAAATATCCACTCTATTCTTTTGATAGGCTTTGACGAGTTCAACGCGTCCAAAACCGCCAATGCCCAAAGTGGCCACAACTTCAAGATCGGTTAATTTCATGTCGGGGAATTCTGGAAAGAGAAAGAAGGGAGAGTTTGAAACTAAAATTGAACTAGAATTGAACTAGAACTGAACTAGAACTGAACTAGAACTGAACTAGAACTGAACTAGAACTGAACTAGAACTGAACTAGAACTGAACTAGAACTGAACTAGAACTGAACTAGAACTGAACTAGAACTGAACTAGAACTGAACTAGAACTGAACTAGAACTCAACTAGAACTGAACTAGAACTGAACTAGAACTGTACTAGAACTGAACTAGAACTGAACTAGAACTGAACTAGAACTGAACTAGAACTGAACTAGAACTGTACTAGAACTGAACTAGAACTGAACTAGAACTGAACTAGAACTGAACTAGAACTGAACTAGAACTGAACTAGAACTGAACTAGAACTGAACTAGAACTGAACTAGAACTTAATAGAACTGAACTAGACTGAAGCTAGAACTGAACTAGAACTGACTAGAAACTGAACTAGGACTAACTAGACTGAACTAGAACTGAACTAGAAACTGAACTAGAACTGAAACTAGAACTGAACTAGAACTGAACTAGAACTGAACTAGAACTGAACTAGAACTGAACTAGAACTGAACTAGAACTGAACTAGAACTGAACTAGAACTAAACTAGAACTGAACTAGAACTGAACTAGAACTGAACTAGAACTGAACTAGAACTGAACTAGAACTGGAACTAGAACTGAACTAGAACTGAACTAGAACTGAACTAGAACTGAACTAGAACTGAACTAGAACTGAACTAGAACTGAAACTAGAACTGAACTAGAACTGAACTAGAACTGAACTAGAACTGAACTAGAACTGAACTAGAACTGAACTAGAACTACTAGAACTGAACTAGAACTGAACCTAGAACTACTAGAACTGAACTAGAACTGAACTAGAACCTGAACTAGAACTGAAAACTAGAACTGAACTAGAACTTGAACTAGAACTGGAAACTAGAACTGAACTACTGAACTAGAACTACTGAACTGAACTAGAACTGAACTAGAATGAAATATAACTGAACTGAACTGAACTAGAACTGACTAGAACTGAAATAGAACTGAACTAGAACGAACTAGAACTGACTAGAACTGAACTAGAACTGAACTAAGAACTGAATAGAAACTGAACTAGAACTGAAATAGGAAAGAACTAGAACTGAAACTAGAAACGAACTAGAACTGAACTATAACTGACTATAATGAACTATAACTGAACTAGAAGTGAACTAGAAACTGACTGAATGAACTAGAACTAGAACTGAACTCGAACTTAGAACATGAACTAGAACTGAACTAAGAACTAGAACTGAAACTAGAACTCTGAACTAGAAACTGAACTAGAACTGAAACTCGAACTGAATAGGAAGCTGAAACTAGAAGCTGAAACTAGAAACTGAACTAGAACTGAACTAGAACTGAAACTAGAACTAGAACTGAACTAGAACTGAACTAGAACTGAACTAGAACTGAACTAGAACTGAACTAGAACTGAACTAGAACTGAACTAGAACTGAACTACAACTAAACTAGAACTGAACTACAACTAAACTGGAACTGAACTACAACTGAACTTATATAGAACTGATAAATCGGTATTTCAATACCCACCTTGCTTAACATTAGCTCCGAAAATCTCCTTCGTTTTCTCCGAATACTTCATGGCCAAAACACGATTTTCGTCGCCATAATTTTTCTCCTTCAACTCACAAAGATCACCTATTAAATGAGTAAAAGACTCACGATCCAATGTTAGGCACTCAACACCGGGAGCCATGGCAATAATATTGGCAGTACGTTTGTCTTCATTAATCAAGGCTTGCTCGCCGAAATAATCACCCATTTGCAGGGTGCGAATTTCCTTCTCTTCCGTGGAAGGGGCTAGTTTCTGTGTGACCTTAACCGAACCCTGAGAAATTAAAAAGAAGGTATCGCCACTGGCGCCTTGTCGTATGATATAAGTACCAGCGGGATAAAATTCCTAAAAAGATTGTCGAATAAATTAATAAGAATAGAATTTTAAATTAAAAATTTTGTGCTAAACTCACCACTTCCAAAACATCTGCTATTTTAGCCAAAACCTCTTCACTGAGATTCTTTAGCAAAGGTACCGACTTCAAGAAATTTACACTATTCTCTATGCGCTGCATGCCCGTTCTCATCATAATCTGCTGGAAGATACGTCTATCTAATACCCATACTCTGGCATCCGACAGCACTCTTATGGAAGCAGTTCTGGTGCAATTGTATAATATGGCCAATTCACCAAAGGCCTTCCCTGGTCCCATGATACCCAATATTTTTCCATTTTTCTCTACCTCAAATTCTCCCTCGGCAGAAACATACAAATGTGCTCCCACCTCTCCTTCTCTTATAACAAATTTACCCTTTTCTATGCTTAGAGAATACATAGAGTCTACCAATTCCCTGACTTGCGAAGCATCTATGTTCTTTAAGAAATCATTATCCATAATGGCCTCTTTAATCAATTGTTTGCTGCTATAATCCTTGTCATATTTAGGTATGGGTATATTTATCGATTGTTGCATGGAAATTTCACAACTTTCACCGGATACACCTTGTTTCTTGAGCACTGGGTGGTGTTGGCTTGCATTTATAACTTTAGGCTTAACCGAACCATTCGATTCGTTAGCATCGGTTTTAGGAGCATTTTGAGCATCATCCTTTTCACCCGGTGCCCAGGATTCAGAAGTATTACCAGTGGAAGCGGAACGTGAATGACACGATTGATATGGATCCGATATACTGGAGTCTATGGAACTGCCATTGCTGTCGGGTGTTATACGTGCTTCACTGCTGCGTTGTTCCGGTATGGTTTCGAAACGATTCTCTAGTAATTTTTTACATTTTTCACAGAATTTATCTTGAGAACTGGAGATATCACTGCACTGCAACGGCATTAGGAAACGATTGGGCGAACTGTTGCTGCAGATAGTGGGCGAGGGTGGTTGCAGCAATTCATCGTGGGCGAGGGGTATGTGATTGGTCGTTTGTTGTAGAACACTCTGTGTGAATTGTATATATATATAAAAAAAATTATGAAAATTTAGATCGATTAAAATGAAAATGTTGATACATTTTTACATTCTACTTATTTACAGATTTTAGTTGCGGCAAATAAAAAGCTCAAAATTTTAAGATAAACATATCGTAAAAATACTATCTATTATAAACAAAGATTAAAGCTTAAGTAGAACTTTATCAAAAGTCGTTTTTAAAGCTACAACTATAACAAATTAAGAGCCGAGGTTTGCACGAAACCCCGTACAAAGTTGTGGCCGAAGTTTGAACTGACTTCTATAAAAAGATACGATCGATCTTGAGTATATGAAAAGTTGCGATAACAACTAAAACAAGACTATATAATAAGCTCTAAGTTTAATTGTGATCGGGCTCTATAAAATAACGACAGATGACAAACCTAGACTAAAATACAAGGCTCGAAATTCTAATTTTGACTCTACCATTCTCAAAAGGCTTCGTCTTTTAAACAAATGAAGAAGGTTGATTACAAGGTATAGGCGGATGTTGCTAAATCGATTTCGAAAATTGCAACTGAGCCAGAACTGGACTAAAATTAATCCAGAATTTTAACTGAACCAGAACTGAATTAGAATTGAACTACAATTGTATTAAAACTAAACTAGAACTGAACTAGAACTGAACTAGAACTGAACTAGAACTGAACTAGAACTGAACTAGAACTGAACTAAAACTGAACTAGAACTGAACTAGAACTGAACTAGAACTGAACTAGAACTGAACTAGAACTGAACTAGAACTGAACTAGAACTGAACTAGAACTGAACTAAACTGAACTAGAACTGAACTAGAACTGAACTAGAACTGAACTAGAACTGAACTAGAACTGAACTAGAACTGAACTAGAACTGAACTAGAACTGAACTAGAAACTGAACTAGAACTGAACTAGAACTGAACTAGAACTGAACTAGAACTGAACTAGAACTGAACTAGAACTGAACTAGAACTGAACTAGAACTGAACTAGAACTGAACTAGAACTGAACTAGAACTGAACTAGAACTGAACTAGAACTGAACTAGAACTGAACTAGAACTGAACTAGAACTGAACTAGAACTGAACTAGAACTGAACTAGAACTGAACTAGAACTGAACTAGAACTGAACTAGAACTGACTAGAACTGAACTAGAACTGAACTAGAACTGAACTAGAACTGAACTAGAACTGAACTAGAACTGAACTAGAACCTGAACTAGAACTGAACTAGAACTGAAACTAGAACTGAACTAGAACTGAACTAGAACTGAACTAGAACTGAACTAGAACTGACTAGAACTGAACTAGAACTGAACTAGAACTTGAACTAGAACTGAACTAGAACTGAACTAGAACTGAACTAGAACTGAACTAGAACTGAACTAGAACTGAACTAGAACTGAACTAGAACTGAACTAGAACTGAACTAGAACTGAACTAGAACTGAACTAGAACTGAACTAGAACTGAACTAGAACTGAACTAGAACTGAACTAGAACTGACTAGAACTGAACTAGAACTGAACTAGAACTGAACTAGAACTGAACTAGAACTGAACTAGAACTGAACTAGAACTGAACTAGAACTGAACTAGAACTGAACTAGAACTGAACTAGAATTGAACTAGAATTGAACTATAACTGAATTAGAACTGAACTAGAACTAAACTAGTAGTGAACCAGAAATGAATGAGTATCTTGTCTAGAGTAGAGTACACTATGGAGGTTTACTCTCTCAACATTTCAACTCTTGGCTTGTTAATGGGTTAAAATTAAACACTTGTAGGTTCTTGTCTTTGCTATTAAATATCTTACTTAATCATGCGTTTCGTTTTAAATTTAATTACATTTTTTGTGGTTTGTTTATTTTTAACTTGATAATTATTGTTAATAATTATATTTAATTGAGTTTGATGTCATTTTAATTTAATTATAAGATTGATTACCTCAAGATCTCCACTAAAATCGTTAAAATCGAAATGCTCCTTTAAATAATTAAAAAGCCATAAAATTAATTATTTGAAAAAGAGAAATGGAGAGAGAGAGGGAGGAATAAAGAGACATTTGAAAACATTTGAAAAAATATGTCATATACTTTTTTTTTATAAAAGAAGACAAAAACAATTAGCGTATTATTAGTAAAATTTAGAAATGATAATAATATAATAAAACAACAATAATAATGAGAACTAAAATATATTATAGAAATTAAGGTATTGAGCGAAAAAAAGCACTTAAATTAAAACTCACGTGCAAAAATGTCGTAAAAAGAAAAACAAAGTGCGAAATAATGCAAAAACAACAACTGTAAAAACAAACCTCCCCTCAAAAGAAAACACACACAAACAAACAAACATGTGTTAATATTCATGCTTAAGAATCGAATAAGTATAAATGTTGTTCTATGCGAAGTGATTACCCCCCAATAAAAACAACAACAACAGAGTAACATGTATACAATGACACTCACTCAAAACAATACCAGAGCATTAAGCAAATGCAAATTAAATAATTGTCGTCAACAACAGCAACAAGAACATCAAAAGAAAACATCATCAACAACAAAAACAATTCCAAATTTAAACAAAAATACATCATCATCTTCGTATCAACTCTTCAATTGTACTTTTTGTTGTTGTTGTTGCTGTTTTTTAATTCTAAATTGGCGAGAGTGCAAAAAAACATGTTAAACATGCAAAAACAAACAACAAAAAGATTCTTACGATTTGTATTTCGTTTTTTTTTTTTGTTTGTTCTTTTCTTTTCTTTATTCAACAACAACTATTATTTATTTATATGAACAACAACGTTGTAGTGTCATCAAAAGTCAAGTAAACAAATGCGAAAGCAAAAAATTAAACAAAAAAGTGAAAATAATGTATAAAATTAATTTAAATATATTTTTAATAAAAATAAACAATGTTGTTGTGCTGTCTAATGCGTGTTTTTTATTTAGTTTGTCTGTGCATAAATTTTCATTTCATTACAAATATCAGTTTTTTTTGACCTGATATTGTATAAGAAAAAGCCCTGTTTTTGGCATTGAACAGCCAACGATTTTGTGATAAAATATAATTCAGGTAAAAAGTTTTTGTTGTTTTGTGTTTGTTTAAACAATTATCAATCATTTTTTTTTTCAAAATTGCTAATTTAATTTAAGAAGAGAGGCGACTGATCATATCTTTTCTAAAGTAGACTGTTCTTTTCTGTTATAGAATAGAGTGATCTACTTTAGAGTAAAATAAATTGATCTGATCAAGAACAAAGTAAACTGATCTAGTTTAGAATAAAGTAAGACTCATCTACTCTAGTATAGAAAAGATTTACTCCAGTAGAGAATAGATTGATCTACTCTAGTAGAGAGTAGATTGATCTACTATAGTAGACAGTAGATTGATCTACTCTAGTAGAGAGTAGATTGATCTACTCTAGTAGAGAGTAGATTGATCTACTCTAGTAGAGAGTAGAATGATCTACTCTAGTAGAGGATAGATTGATCTACTCTAGTAGAGAGTAGATTGATCTACTCTAGTAGAGAGTAGATTGATCTACTCTAGTAGAGAGTATAGTTGACTGGTCTACTCTAGTATAAAGTAGACTAATCTACTCTAGTAGAGAGTACTTTAGTATAGGGTAAACAGATCTACTCTAGTCTGGAGTAGACAGATCTAATCTAGACTAGACTGTTCTATTCTAGTATTAAGTAGACTGATCTACTCTAGTATAGAGTAGACAGATCTACTCTAGTACATAGTAGACTGATCTACTCTAGTATAGAGTAGACTGATTTGCTCTGGTATATAATAGACTGATCTACTCAAGTATGAAGTAGACCGATCTACTCTAGTACAGAGTGGACTGATGTACTCTAGTATGGAGTAGACCGATCTACTCTACTATGGAGTAGATAGATCTACTCTAGTAGAGAATATATTGACCTACTCTAGTATAGAGTACATTGATTTACTCTAGTAGGGAATAGTAGATATTCTCTAGTATGGAGTAGATGGGTCTAGTGTAGAATAGAGTAGATTGATCTTCTCTAGTAGAGAGTAGAATGACCTACTTATTATATAGTTGACTGGTCTACTCTAGTATAAAGTAGAATGATCTACTCTAGTAGAGAGTACTTTAGTATAGAGTAGACTGATCTTACCTAATATAGAGTAGACAGATCTACTCTAGTATAGAGTAGACAGATCTACTATAGTATAGAGTAGATTGATTTACTCTAGTATAGAGTAGATAGATCTACTTTAGTAGAGAGTATATTGATCTACTCTAGTAGAGAATAGTAGAGAGTAGATTGATCTACTCTAGAATAGGGTAGACTGATATTCTCTAGTATAGAGTAGATGGGTCTAGTGTAGAATAGAGTAGATTGATCTTCTCTAGTAGAGAGTAGAATGACCTACTTATTATATAGTTGACTGGTCTACTCTAGTATAAAGTAGAATGATCTACACTAGTAGAGAGTACTTTAGTATAGAGTAGACTGATCTAACCTAATACAGAGTAGACAGATCTTCTCTAGTATAGAGTAGACAGATCTACTATAGTATAGAGTAGATTGATTTACTCTAGTATAGAGTAGATAGATCTACTTTAGTAGAGAGTATATTGATTTACTCTAGTAGAGAATAGTAGAGAGTAAATTGATCTACTCTAGTATAGAATAGGCTGATATTCTCTAGTATAGAGTAGATGGGTCTAGTGTAGAATAGGGTAGATTGATCTTCTCTAGTACAGAGTAGAATGACCTACTTATTATATAGTATAGACTGGTCTACTCTATTATAAAGTAGAATGATCTACTCTAATAGAGAGTACTTTAGTATAGAGTAGACTGATCTAACCTAATATAGAGTAGACAGATCTACACTAGTATAGAGTAGACAGATCTACCTTAGTATAGACTAGACTGATCTACTCTAGTATGGAGTAGATTGATCTTCTCTAGTATAGAATAGTTTGATCTACGCCAGTATAGAGTAAATTGATCTACTCTAGTATAGAGTAGATTGATCTAATCTAGAAAAGTGAGTCATGCCTGAAAAGAGTGATCTACACAGAACTAACTAACTTATAATAGAGGATACGGGTCTACTCTAGTATAGAATAGACTAATCTATTCTAATATAGAGTAGACTGTTCTACTCTAATATAGATTAGATCGATCTACTCTAGTATCTACACTAGTACAGCTGATACTGATTTACTCTAATATATAGTAGACTGATATGCTCTAGAGCAATAGATCTACACTGGTGTATCGTCGACTGATCTATTATAGAATACAGATCAATTAAGAAAAGAGTAGACTAGATAAGAGTAAAAGGTTCAAAAGTCTATAGCTGAGGGGCTCATAAGTATGTTTTTCATTATTGAGTAGATTCAGGTTATATTCTTCTGAAAATTGAGTGGAAGGTTCTACTCTTCATTAGGTCAGAAAAAGAAGGTTTCAATCTATTGTAGAGATCGAGATTTTACTTTATTGCAGAGTAGAATCGAAGATTCTTGTCTATAAAAGAGTGAGTTACATGGTTATGCTTTACACCTTAGTAGCTACATTGATAGTTTTAGACGGTTCTACAATATCTTGAAGTAGAGTAGGGAGTTCTACTCTAAACCAGAATATAGTGCAAGGCTTTACTCTTCATTAGGACGATTCCGCTCTACATCACAGTACTTTTACTGAGTAGATTAGCAGGTTCTAATTTATTGCAGATCATATTAGAAGATTATCTTCTATTGCAGAGGAGAGTCATAGGTTTTACTCTACATATTGCTGAAAAGTGTCAAAGATCCTTTGCTATCTCAGAGAGTGTTAAAAGATTCTGCTCTGCACCAGAGTAGATTAAAAAGTTCCACTCTATCGGTGAGTAGATTGTCATTTTCTCCTCTATCACTTAAAAGAAAGTTTTACTATAACGCTTAGTAGGGAAGTAGGTACTATTGCACACTAGAAGGTTCTATTTCATTCCAGAATTTAAGGTTTGACTCTATCGTTGAGTAGAGTAAAAGTTTCTTCCCCATCTCGGAGATGACTAGAAGGTTTTACTCTATTGTAGAGTAAACTAGAATATTGTACTCTATTCTAATGAAATCTTCTTTAAAATCAAATATATATTTTGATACCCACCGATTGCGAATAATTCCATATGCCATCCGTTTGCGTAAGTCGGATTACTTTTAACATTTAAATGAAATTTAGACTCTAGATCTTCAACTGATTGCAATAACACTTTTTAATTATTATTTACACTTTAAATTTTGTTGTATTCTTAAATTATGTAACTTTTTCTAATAGTATTTAACAAATTATGGATTATTTTTATTAAAACATTTTTGGGCAAATTATTGCTAACACGTTGTAACACTTCTATGAAAACTTTATGAATGATTTGATTATTTTAACCACGCACAGCAAATACCTGGTATTACTATATACTATTACTTATACAATTGATTACTTCTTATACTGCTGGGGATTTTAGTACATTTTATGGCCTGAGTATAATAAATTCAAGAAACTTTTGGACATGCGCTTAAAAGCTTTGAATTTCCTATTAGTCGTTTAAGCAAAAATGGAATAACATTTTATTTAATGGGGTTTGACGGAATTGTCGGAACTAAGAGTGATGGTCCTTCTAACCTATAACCAATGAATCGCAGTTGAAGATTATTGAAACGATTAGCATTTGATGGAAATTCTGATAGAACTTATACAACGATTTTGAATGATTTCGAACTTTTATAACAGGAAATCTATTACAACTGCAGAAAGTTATGGAGGGTCCGTTTTTTAAATCAAAACAAAGCAATTGTGATGGTTAAATTAGAAGCTTTTACAGCTCTTTTCTGTATTAGCCTGATTTTGCCTAGCTCTCTCAAGTCAAAATTAATCAAAACGATCAGCATTTGATATCGCTTTTGAAGTACAAAGACAGCTTTTGTGTTGGTTTAACTAGAAGCTTTTAAAGTTCTTCTCTGTATTGGCTTGGGGGTTGGCCTAGCTCTCTCAAGTCAAAGATTATCAAAACGATCAGCATTTGATATCGCTTTTTGAAATATATCGACATACATGATCAAATAAAGCTTTTGAGATGGTTTCATTAGAAGCTTTTAAAGCTCTTCTCTGTATTAGCTTGGGTCTTGGTTTAGCTAAATCAAGTATAAGATTATCTAAACGATCAGAATTTAATATCGCTTTTGAAAATATGACTCGATATGACATACATGATCAAACAAAGCTTTTGTGATGATTTCATTAGAAGCTTTAAAAGTTCATCTCTGCATTAGTTTGGGTTTCCATAGCTCTCACAAGTCAGATATTATCAAAACGATCAGCATTTGATATAAATACATGATCAAACAAAGCTTTTGTGTGTTTTTAATTTGAAGCTTTTAAAATTCTTCTCTGTACTAGCTTGGGTCTTGGCCCAGCTTTCTCAAGTCAAAGTTTATCAAAACGATCATTATTTAATATCGCTTTTTGAAATATGACTCGATATGACATTCATGATCAAACAAGGCTTTTGTGATGGTTTAATTAGAAGCTTTTAAAGGTCTCGGTATTAGCTTGGGTTTCCATAGCTCTCACAAGTCAAAGTTTATCAAAACGATCAGCATTTGAAGTCGCTTTTGAAATATAAACAAAGCTTTTGTGATCGTTTAATTAGAAGCTTTTAAAGCTCTTCTCTGTGTTTGCTAGGGTATTGGCCTAGCTCTCTCAAGTCAAAGATTATCAAAACGATCAGCATTTGATATCGCTTTTTGAAATATAACTCGATATGACATTCATGATCAAACAAAGCTTTTGTGATGGTTTAATTTGAAGCTTTTAAAGTTCTTCCCTTTATCAGTTTGGGTCTTGGCCAGCTCCCTCAAGTAAAAGATTATCAAAACGATCAGCATTTGATATCGCTTTTGGAAATATGACTCGATATGACATACAATATCAAACAAAGCTTTTGTGATGGTTTCATTAGAAGCTTTTAAAGCTCTACTCTGCTTTAGCTTGGGTCTTGGCCAGCTCTCTCAAGTCAAAGATTATCAAAACGATCGGCATTTGATGTCGCTTTTGAAATATAAACAAAGCTTTTGTGATGGTTTAACTAGAAGCTTTTAAAGTTCTTCTTTGTATTAGATTGGGTTTGCTTTGCTCCCTCAAGTCATAGATTATCAAAACAATCAGCATTTGATATCGCTTTTTGAAATATGACTAGATATGACATACATGATATAACAAAGCTTTTGTGATAATTTAATTAGAACCCCTTCTCTGTATTAGCTTGGATCTTGGCCTAGTTTAATCAAGTCAAAGACTATCAAAACGATCAGCATTTGATATTGCTTTTGGAAATATGACTTAATATGACTTACATGATCAAACAAAGCTTTTGTGAAGGTTTAATTAAAAGCTTTTAAAGTTCTTCTCTGTATTAACTAGGATCTTGGCTTAGTTAGGCATTTGATATCGCTTTTTGAAATATGACTAGATATGACATACATGATGAAACAAAGCTTTTGTGAAGGTTTAATTAAAAGCTTTTAAAGCTCTTCTGTTTATCAACAGAGGGATTTGCTCAGCTTTCTTACAATCTTAAGAATCTATACGGTGACCAATTCAGCTTTTATTTGATTCTGAACAATGACCCAAATTATGTCTAGAACCATGAGTAATCGAATACATATTTGCAAAGTTATTTAAATAATTATGGTTCTTTAAATTATTTAAAACTTTTATGACAAATTTCTGCCGCCTAAAGGGTGTGTATTTGTTATTCCATACTTTTCTATTCTAAATTATTTTATAAATAAATTTCAAAAAGTACTAAATGTAAAAATAGTATTTTATATTTACAAATACGCAATTAGCAGATAAAATAGTATATTTTTAAAATGATCATAAACTAAATAATCAACAATAACTTCTACTAATGTTTTCTATATTTTTATAACTTGATAAAAAAAATGTTACATTTTTTATTATTTTTCAAATGTTGAAAAAATAAATTTGCCATATTTTTATCAAAAACAAATTAGTACTTAAATAGTATAATTTAAACAAAAAAATCACAACTCAAATAAATAAACAAAATAGACAGATATCTAGTCTACTGGGGTGAAAAATATAAAAACAAATTCCATAGAAAATTTAACAAAATGTGCTAAATTTAAATTAAATATTTAGAAAACATTTTCGAACAGGCATGAAATTTCTAGCAAACAACAAAAAAACTGATCTATAAGAAACAACCTCCAATCACAAATATCAAAACTTTTCGTTTTTCTCTCTCCAAAAACTTACCTTTAACTTGTGTATTTCTCTTCTAAGCTTAACAATCTCAGCATCACGAGATTTGATCACATCTTTAAGAGAAACAATTTCACCCTGCAGTGATTTAATTTGGGCATCTTTATCATCGACCACCATACAACTTTGTGTGGTAACATTAGGACTAAAACCACATTTAGTGGCCATGGTGTGTGGTGATTGTGGTGAGGGTGGTGAATATATTAAAGCTGGCTGTGCAGTTCCTGCTGCTCCAGGAGATGTGGGTGATGTTGTTGTCATAGTTTGTAGTTTAAGCGCTAAGGAATTATTTTGGGCATTTAAAGGGGTAAAACCACTTTTTGTCGGAGACGTTAGTGCTGAAGAGCCGGGGCTAGTGGAGGAATTTTTACGCATTGAAGAGACATTAGTTGCTTGATTGCTATTGCCAGTGTTTAAAGTCTGGGAACGTAGAATCATGGAGGTTTTGCGGATCTGAAAAGGAAAAACATATTTTAGATTTCTGTCAGAACTTTAAAAAAGTTGATATCTTTACATAAATTTATAAAAAATTCAGATTTTTAATAAATTTGTTATTGTCTATAGTCCATTAAATAGTATAAACTATAGTCCAAACTATAGTCCAAACTATAGTCCACACTATAGTCCAAACTATAGTCCAAACTATAGTCCAAACTATAGTCCAAACTATAGTCCAAACTATAGCCAAACTATAGTCCAAACTATAGTCCAAACTATAGTCCAAACTATAGTTCAAACTATAGTCCAAACTATAGTCTATAGTCTAGTCTATAGTCTAGTCTATAGTCTAGTCTATAGTCTAGTCTATAGTCTAGTCTATAGTCTAGTCTATAGTCTAGTCTATAGTCTAGTCTATAGTCTAGTCTATAGTCTAGTCTATAGTCTAGTCTATAGTCTAGTCTATAGTCTAGTCTATAGTCTAGTCTATAGTCTAGTCTATAGTCTAGTCTATAGTCTAGTCTATAGTCTAGTCTATAGTCTAGTCTATAGTCAAGTCTATAGTCTAGTCTATAGTCTAGTCTATAGTCTAGTCTATAGTCAAGTCTATAGTCTAGTCTATAGTCTAGTCTATAGTCTAGTCTATAGTCTAGTCTATAGTCTAGTCTATAGTCTAGTCTATAGTCTAGTCTATAGTCTAGTCTATAGTCTAGTCTATAGTCTAGTCTATAGTCTAGTCTATAGTCTAGTCTATAGTCTAGTCTATAGTCTAGTCTATAGTCTAGTCTATAGTCTAGTCTATAGTCTAGTCTATAGTCTAGTCTATAGTCTAGTCTATAGTCTAGTCTATAGTCTAGTCTATAGTCTAGTCTATAGTCTAGTCTATAGTCTAGTCTATAGTCTAGTCTATAGTCTAGTCTATAGTCTAGTCTATAGTCTAGTCTATAGTCTATAGTCTAGTCTATAGTCTAGTCTATAGTCTAGTCTATAGTCTAGTCTATAGTCTAGTCTATAGTCTAGTCTATAGTCTAGTCTATAGTCTAGTCTATAGTCTAGTCTATAGTCTAGTCTATAGTCTAGTCTATAGTCTAGTCTATAGTCTAGTCTATAGTCTAGTCTATAGTCTAGTCTATAGTCTAGTCTATAGTCTAGTCTATAGTCTAGTCTATAGTCTAGTCTATAGTCTAGTCTATAGTCTAGTCTATAGTCTAGTCTATAGTCTAGTCTATAGTCTAGTCTATAGTCTAGTCTATAGTCTAGTCTATTAGTCTATAGTCCTAGTCTATAGTCCTAAGTCTATAAGTCTAGTCTATAGTCTAGTCTATAGTCTATCTACGTCTGTATAGTCTAGTCTATAGTCTAGTAGTCTAGTCTAGATCTAGTCTATAGTCTAGTCTATAGTCCTAGTCTATAAGGCGAGTCTATAGTCAGAGTCTATTAGTCTAGTCCTATAGTCTAGTCTATAGTCTAGTCGATGTCTGTCTATTATTTCCCAAAAATTTATCTTTTTTAGTAAATTTTCCCAAAAATTTGCTTTTTTAGTAATTTTTTTCAAAAATTATGCTTTTATTTAGATAGTTTTTTCAAAAATTAAGCTTTTTTTAGTAATTTGTTGGTTCAAAAATTTGCTTTTTTAGAAATTTTTTCAAATTTGCTTTTTAGAAATTTTTTCAAAAATTTGCTTTTTTATTAATTTTTTTCACAAAATTTGCTTTTTTATTAATTTTTTTCAAAAATTTGCTTCGTTTAGTAATTTTTTTCAAAAATTCGCTTTTTTAGTAATTTTTGTTGAAATTTGCTATTTTTAGTAAATTTTTTTAAAATTTGCTATTTTTAGTAAATTTTTTTAAAATTTGCTATTTTTAGTAAATTTTGTTAACATTTTTACTCACCTGCTCTATAACATTGGAATCATGCAAAGCCTTCGAAGTCTTTCTTATTAAATTACTTTGATTTTGTTGTATGGGTCCCAAAATACCACTTTCAGCAAAATATTTCTGTGCCGCATCAAAGTTGGCGTCCTCACTTAGACTGGTGGGGGAACTTTGTCCCGGTAACAATTTCGTTGACAATAAAGGACTAGTTGGGTTAGGTTTACCCAGTAAAAATTGTGTTTCACCGTGCGTCCTCAAATCCAGAGATTTTTCCGAATCTGTGGTAGAACCACCCGAATCTATTTCATGAGATCTTTGCAATAGTCGGCGACGTTGTGCAGTGGAACGTGTCGCTAAAGGAGTACGACGTATTTCACACTGTGGTGAATGTTTGGGAGAGATTTTCACTAAAATATCGGGATGTACGGCAACATCTAGCACCTGATACTGACCGATATTGGGTGAAGAGGAACGTTTGGGTTGTTTAATTTCCACTTTGCCACCACGTGTAGTTATAACTGTGTCTTGAGTTTGTAGGAGAGGAGTTTGTAGCAGAGACAACGATTCCCGAGAAGGATGTTTATTTTCATCGGTGAAAATGAAATCGGTATCGGGATGAGAATACGATTGAAATAGTTTTTTCGCCGAAGATTTTTGTAAAACTTCCGAACGTCGGGGTGAAGGTATGGGTGTTGGTTTAGCTAAGGATTTTGCGTTATAAGCTTCTAGCTGAGACGGTGAAGAGATTCGCGGTATCTGTTGAGCTTTTGAACGTGTTAATGTTACAAGTTCCGTTTCTTGACTAACGTTTGATTTAGCTAATTGTTCAGTATTAGCGGTGACTGCTAAAAGTTTAGTTGTTGTTGTTTCAATTGTTGTTGTTGTTGTTATTGGCGGTGTCTCTGTGGTGGGAGAGATCAATTGAGTATCAAAGCTGGCCGTTAGACTCTCTTCTCTGGATAGATAAGCCGAGGTGGCCGATGATGTTTGTGTAGAGAGTGAATGAAAACCCGAACTAGCGGTTAGTTTTGCTGCACTATCCGAGACCGAAGAGGCCAGCGAGAGTTCTGTATTGGAAGAGGGTGACATAGAGAGATGCAAATTCTGCTGTTGTTGTTGTTGCTGCTGTTGCTGGTAATATAACGACTGATTATGTATGGTGGCTTGGGTAATTGTTGTTGCTGCAGCTAGTGCTGTTGTGGTATTATCAATTGAGGCGGCACGTGAGCCGGCTAAATGAGTTGTTTCCATTTCGGTGGAAGTGGTATTAGTGCCACAATTACATTTTGCAAATAGACTACCACAAGTATGACTCTTGCGGAATTTCATACGAAAATTAATAGCCCTCGAGGCACCCAAAGAACTTATGGCTGTCCGCGATGTTGTTGTTGAAGTTTTTGTAAAAGATATGGGTGATACACTGCCATATTGTTGCTCTTTTAAGTCCTCATCATCTTGAGACTTGGAGATGCCCAATTTGGGCTGTTGTCTAGAGGTAGCTTGCAGTAGCTTTGAATCTTTCGCTGCCTCATTATTCATTTTCATCATTTTGGGCACTTGCAGCTGATTGTTGCTTCTACTTAGGGGCATTTTATGTTTAATTTCCGGAGCATAGTCCTTGTTTTGCTTTTGACTTTCTATGACTTCCTTTAATTGACGAGATTCCTCCATTAGTCCGCTAACGGTTGATATGAGTGTTTCAGTGGCTGTTACAGCAGATTTCATAGCCATTGCTGAAGAAGAAACTTAAAAGCTAAAAAGCGTTAAGCAACATCTGAAATGGTAGAAGAAACGTAGAGATTTAGCAATTATTAAGATCGCAAACTTTCAGTCTTGATCGGAATTGATAACTTTCTAAAATATCCGAAATTTTTCTAATATTTTTGCATAAAGCTCAAAAGCTTTTAAAGGAAACAACATAGAACTTTGAGAATATCAGCAAACTATAGAAGTCAAAGTTCACATTCAAATATCAACATGTCAAAGTACAAAATCCTTTCGATTTCATCTAATTTCCAATCAAATCTTCAAAAATAATACTTAATTATGACAACAACTTTTTAAGAGCTTTCATCTCACGATCTACATAATTCTCTTAACGAAATATCTTTTCAAACTTAACAAATTTCATTCATCATCTAACTAATATCAAAAGATCTTAACTGAAAATACCTCAAAAAAAAAACTCTTCTTATGATCTACACAACCATTCAAATCTATTTATAGATCATCAGACTTGAAACTTATTTAAATTAACATAAATTCTAAGTATTAAATTGCCTGTTCACCCCCTCTTAAAGCAATTTAAAATTCGCATTTAGATTAGTTTAGTTTTTTTTTCATCTTCTACAAGTCTTATTACGTGGGATTCTTGACTTAAAAATTTAAGTTATTTTTCATCTCTCTAGACAGACAAACAGACGGACTCTCGACAAAAAAAGATCATATCAAATGTGTATCTCTATATCTAAACTACATTTAAACGTACATATGTATGTGTGTGTATAATTTTTGTTTATATTATTTTATTTTAATATTGTATGATTTAATTAACATATTTGTGTTATATACAAATAAATGCAAAATTTTGCTTTAAATTTGTCTAAAAATTTTATTTATTTATATATGTTTTTACTTCACGCTTTTTATACAATTGAATATCAATCGGATTTCAATCTATAATTCATTGGAACGTATAAATTTGGAGTTGATAACAGATCTTAAAGAAACTTACGAAAGTTCAAGGTGAAGAACGAAGGAAAGAAAGATAAATAAGAAAATTTTCTTAAAATTCACTATTTTTATTGATTTGCTGATTTAAGTAAAATTTCTCTAACTCAGTTCTAGTTAAGTTCTAGTTCTTTTCTAGTTCTGTTCTAGTTCTGTTGTAATTCTGTTCTAGTTCTGTTCTAGTTCTGTTCTAGTTCTGTTCTAGTTCTGTTCTAGTTCTGTTCTAGTTCTGTTCTAGTTCTGTTCTAGTTCTGTTCTAGTTCTGTTCTAGTTCTGTTCTAGTTCTGTTTCTAGTTCTGTTCTAGTTCTGTTCTAGTTCTGTTCTAGTTTCTGTTCTAGTTCTGTTCTAGTTCTGTTCTAGTTCTGTTCTAGTTCTGTTTAGTTCTGTTCTAGTTCTGTTCTAGTTCTGTTCTAGTTCTGTTCTAGTTCTATTCTAGTTCTGTTCTAGTTCTGTTCTAGTTCTGTTCTAGTTCTGTTCTAGTTCTGTTCTAGTTCTGTTCTAGTTCTGTTCTAGTTCTGTTCTAGTTCTGTTCTAGTTCTGTTCTAGTTATGTTCTAGTTCTGTTCTAGTTCTGTTCTAGTTCTGTTCTAGTTCTGTCTAGTTCTGTTCTAGTTCTGTTCTAGTTCTGTTCTAGTTCTGTTCTAGTTTTCTGTTCTAGTTGTTTCTAGTTCTCTTCTAGTTCTGTCTAGTTCTGTTTCTAGTTCTGTTCTAGTTCTGCTTCTAGTTCTGTTCTAGTTCTGTTCTAGTTCTGTTCTAGTTCTCTTCTAGTTCTGTCTAGTTCTGTTCTAGTTCTGTTCGTTCTGTTCTAGTTCTGTTCTAGTTCTGTTCTAGTTCTGTTATAGTTCTGTTCTAGTTCTGTTCTAGTTCTGTTCTAGTTCTGTTTCTAGTTCTGTTCTAGTTCTGTTTCTAGTTCTGTTCTAGTTCTGTTCTAGTTCTGTTCTAGTTCTGTTCTAGTTCTGTTCAGTTCTGTTCTAGTTCCTGTTCTAGTTCTGTTCTAGTTCTGTTCTAGTTCTGTTCTAGTTCTGTTCTAGTTCTGTTCTAGTTCTGTTCTAGTTCTGTTCTAGTTCTGTTCTAGTTCTGTTCTAGTTCTGTTCTAGTTTGTTCTAGTTCTGTTCTAGTTCTGTTCTAGTTCTGTTCTAGTTCTGTTCTAGTTCTGTTCTAGTTCTGTTCTAGTTCTGTTCTAGTTCTGTTCTAGTTCTGTTCTAGTTTGTTCTAGTTTGTTCTAGTTCTGTTCTAGTTCTGTTCTAGTTCTGTTCTAGTTCTGTTCTAGTTCTGTTCTAGTTCTGTTCTAGTTCTGTTCTAGTTCTGTTCTAGTTCTGTTCTAGTTCTGTTCTAGTTCTGTTCTAGTTCTGTTCTAGTTCTGTTCTAGTTCTGTTCTAGTTCGTTCTAGTTCTGTTCTAGTTCTGTTCTAGTTCTGTTCTAGTTCTGTTCTAGTTCTGTTCTAGTTCTGTTCTAGTTCTGTTCTAGTTCTGTTCTAGTTCTGTTCTAGTTCTGTTCTAGTTCTGTTATAGTTCTGTTCTAGTTCTGTTCTAGTTCTGTTCTAGTTCTGTTCTAGTTCGTTCTAGTTCTGTTCTAGTTCTGTTCTAGTTCTGTTCTAGTTCTGTTCTAGTTTGTTCTAGTTCTGTTCTAGTTCTGTTCTAGTTCTGTTCTAGTTCTGTTCTAGTTCTGTTTCTAGTTCTGTTCTAGTTCTGTTCTAGTTCTGTTCTAGTTCTGTTCTAGTTCTGTTCTAGTTCTGTTCTAGTTCTGTTCTAGTTCTGTTCTAGTTCTGTTAGTTCTGTTCAGTTCTGTTCTAGTTCTGTTCTAGTTCTGTTCTAGTTCTGTTCTAGTTCTGTTCTAGTTCTGTTCTAGTTCTGTTCTAGTTCTAGTTCTGTTCTAGTTCTGTTCTAGTTCTTCTAGTTCTGTTCTAGTTCTGTTCTAGTTCTGTTCTAGTTCTGTTCTAGTTCTGTTCTAGTTTGTTCTAGTTCTGTTCTAGTTCTGTTCTAGTTCTGTTCTAGTTCTGTTCTAGTTCTGTTCTAGTTCTGTTCTAGTTCGTTCTAGTCTGTTCTTCTGTTCTAGTCTGTTCTAGTTCTTTTCTAGTTCTGTTCTAGTTCTGTTCTAGTTCTGTTCTAGTTCTGTTCTAGTTCTGTTCTAGGTCTGTAGTTGTTCTAGTTCTGTTCTAGTTCTTTCTAGTTCTGTTCTAGTTCTGTTCTAGTTCTGTTCTAGTTCTGTTCTAGTTCTGTTCTAGTTCTGTTCTAGTTCTGTTCTAGTTCTGTTCTAGTTCTGTTCTAGTTCTGTTCTAGTTCTGTTCTAGTTCTGTTCTAGTTCTGTTCTAGTTCTGTTCTAGTTCTGTTCTAGTCTGTTCTAGTTTGTTCTAGTTTTTTCTAGTTCTGTTCTAGTTTTTCTAGTTCTGTTCTAGTTCTGTTCTAGTTCTGTTCTAGTTCTGTTTCTAGTTCTGTTCTAGTTCTGTTCTAGTTCTGTTCTAGTTCTGTTCTAGTTCTGTTCTAGTTCTGTTCTAGTTCTGTTCTAGTTCTGTTCTAGTTCTGTTCTAGTTCTGTTCTAGTTCTGTTCTAGTTCTGTTCTAGTTCTGTTCTAGTTCTGTTCTAGTTCTGTTCTAGTTCTGTTCTAGTTCGTTCTAGTTCTGTTCTAGTTCTGTTCTAGTCTGTTCTAGTTTGTTCGTTCTGTTTAGTTCTGTTCTAGTTCTGTTCTAGTTCTGTTCTAGTTCTGTTCTAGTTCTGTTCTAGTTCTGTTCTAGTTCTGTTCTAGTTCTGTTCTAGTTCTGTTCTAGTTCTGTTCTAGTTCTGTTCTAGTTCTGTTCTAGTTCTGTTCTAGTTCTGTTCTAGTTCTGTTCTAGTTCTGTTCTAGTTCTGTCCTAGGTCTGTTCCAGTCTGTTCTAGTTCTGTTCTAGTTCTTTTCTAGTTCTGTTCTAGTTCTGTTCTAGTTCTGTTCTAGTTCTGTTCTAGTTCTGTTCTAGTTCTGTTCTAGTTCTGTTCTAGTTCTGTTCTAGGTCTGTTCTAGTTCAGTTCTAGTTCTGTTCTAGTTCTTTTCTAGTTCTGTTCTAGTTCTGTTCTAGTTCTGTTCTAGTTCTGTTCTAGTTCTGTTCTAGTTCTGTTCAAGTTCTGTTCTAGTTCTGTTCTAGTTCGTTCTGTTCTAGTTCTGTTCTAGTTCTGTTCTAGTTCTGTTCTAGTTCTGTTCTAGTTCTGTTCTAGTTCTGTTCTAGTTCTGTTCTAGTTCTGTTCTAGTTCTGTTCTTTTGTTCTAGTTCTGTTCTAGTTCTGTTCTAGTTCTGTCTTCTGTTCTAGTTCTGTTCTAGTTCTGTTCTAGTTCTGTTCTAGTTGTTCTAGTTCTGTTCTAGTTCTGTTCTAGTTCTGTTCTAGTTCTGTTCTAGTTCTGTTCTAGTTCTGTTCTAGTTCTGTTCTAGTTCTGTTCTAGTTCTGTTCTAGTTCTGTTCTAGTTCTGTTCTAGTTCTGTTCTAGTTCTGTTCTAGTTCTGTTCTAGTTCTGTTCTAGTTCTGTTCTAGTTCTGTTCTAGTTCTGTTCTAGTTCTGTTCTAGTTCTGTTCTAGTTCTGTTCTAGTTCTGTTCTAGTTCTGTTCTAGTTCTGTTCTAGTTCTGTTCTAGTTCTGTCTAGTTCTGTTCTAGTTCTGTTCTAGTTCTGTTCTAGTTCTGTTCTAGTTCTGTTCTAGTTCTGTTCTAGTTCTGTTCTAGTTCTGTTCTAGTTCTGTTCTAGTTCTGTTTAGTTCTGTTCTAGTTCTGTTCTAGTTCTGTTCTAGTTCTGTTCTAGTTCTGTTCTAGTTCTGTTCTAGTTCTGTTCTAGTTCTGTTCTAGTTCTGTTCTAGTCTGTTCTAGTCTGTTCTAGTTCTGTTCTAGTTCTGTTCTAGTTCTGTTCTAGTTCTGTTCTAGTTCTGTTCTAGTTCTAGTTCTGTTCTAGTTCTAGTTCTGTTCTAGTTCTGTTCTAGTTCTGTTCTAGTTCTGTTCTAGTTCTGTTCTAGTTCTGTTCTAGTTCTGTTCTAGTTCTGTTCTAGTTCTGTAGTTCTGTTCTAGTTCTTTCTAGTTCTGTTCTAGTTCTGTTCTAGTTCTGTTCTA